TGAGACTGAAAATCCAATTAGCTTCACACATGAGTGAAAACCCAGTGAAAGGTTTGCTGTTAGAAAAAGATATTCTCATCCCCAATTGTCACTATTCTCCACCTTTCATTTCTACCCAGAATTTAGTAAAGCCTCTTACTGTATGTGTGGAGCACTGGTTCCCAACTACAGATGCAAGACTTTAGGCTTCACACCCACCAGAGCACAATCAGCTGACTTCACCTGTCAAGGTTGTGGTTCTGCTGAATTGAGACTTGTCTCATGGGTTTTTTTTTGTCCCATCATTTGTGGCATGTCCCTCTGTCGCTTCCTTTTCAGTTTTTATGGGTTGGTATAAGGAGCTTTTTTCTTCTCTCCACAGACTGGCTTTGTGTTACAATTACAAATTGCAGGCTATAATCCAAGGTTATTGGCCTGGACTCCTTAGCTGTCTACTGCTTCAGACTGTTGCCTCTGCACCTGTTCAGATGAGCAGAGCGCTAGTGCCGGCAGGGGGTAGGAGACAGGAGCTGGGTGGTGGGGTACTGTGAGGTGGCTGCTAGTACACTCTAATACGAGTTCAAGTCTTCTTAGGTATGGTGGGTACTTGAGTTAGATGGGTGGTGGGGAGGGATAAACAGGGATGCCCCCAAGTTAAAACACCCTAAGTAATCTTGTGCTAGCTTCAGTTATAGCTCTCAGTGGTGGCTCAGCTCTGTCATATTGGTTCTGCAACCAGTCAATAGATACAGAACCAGAGAGAGCTATGGTTAGCATAGTCTCACAGTGGGGTTTGTTCCTTTTACCTTTTGATTGCAGAACCAGTGCTCTGGGGACACTTGCTCCTGATGCTGAGTTCAAGATGCTTTGAACTCTGGTTAATGGCATTTTACTATTTAGCTGTTATCTCAGCTTTGGCCCCAGGTGGGTGTGAAGTCAGGGGTGTCACATAACATGGCCACAAGGTACAGAGAATGGCCACTTCCTTCTTTTTTTGCAATTTAGAGAGTTTAGTCTCTTCTGTATGGAGACACAGATGAGCCTATCTAGACCACCTCACGAGTTGGGGTTCCAGCTATTCACATCTAGGTGTCCCAGACTCAAGCCGACAACCACCACCTTGCAAACCCTGTGTGGGCAGTCACCAGGACTTTCCACTGCTCTCAACATCCCCTACAGGGCTGCAGACTGTTTCACTCTAACTCTGGGTGCCTAGTTGCTGTCCACCAGTACAGGATCTGTGTTGATAGCACTGATCTACAACTCTGGCATTCTGTCACAGGTCTCTGCACCACTACCCTGTAATTCTCCAGAGGTAGACCCTCCGTCCTGCACACCGATTTTACGTATGCCCCCTCTTCGGTGCAGTCCACAGGTTCTAAAGTCCCTGATGTGGGCCAGAGTCTTTCAGTCAACAGCAGCAGAGAAGCTCTATTTAGTAGCCACCCTCCTTCTCTTAGGTTGCACTGTGCAGGAAATGCTACAAGTACACTTAAAAATTGTATTTTTTCCTACTCCCCTCTACTGCGTTGTCCATCTTGAAGGGTTCAGTAGTTATCTATTCATCATCAGGCACCATTGTCTTTATTTATGCCTGATTTAGTTGTCAATATGTGGAGGTGAACTTGGTGTCCTCACTCTTATGCCATCTTTCCAGACCCCCTTTCCTGGGTTTTCTAGAGAATCAAACACAAGAGTGTGTGCTGACTTCTCAAGAGAAAGTTAAGCATCAGTCTTCTTTTCCCCTCATAATCAAGCCCATAAGCTATATTCCCATCAGCAGAGCTATGGAACTAATGCTTTTCTTTGTATTTATGAGATATTTCTACATGCTGATTTCAAATTCATAATTTTAGCGACCTATTTTTTGTCATTACATCGCTGCATTTTGAGTAAATATTTAAAGTTTGTTTCTTGCATTTGTAGTAAATGCAGTGGAGCAGTCTAGGTCCAATAAGAATTTAATTGAGGACAAAAATTTGCTGCTTTTAGCATGCCTAATAATTTCCATCTTTTGTCTCACTTGAAAAAATGTATTACCGTTTTGTGTTTATGCCTCCCATTTATTTTTATAAAATTAATTCAAGCAAAATATTCAAATCACCAATGCTTTATAGATAATAAAACTAGCCGGACAAAACAGAACCAATAACTGACAATACCATCATAAAAACTTTATTAATCAGCAAATGCTTGAGAATTCCAATTTAGGCATAGAAAAAGTGACTTTTGAGGGTCAAAGGACAGTGTCAGGGTCTTGGTCAGCTGTATGTCATAGTACCTAGAAACATACCATTCATAAAATGCTTGCTTAGGGAATGGATTCCATGCCTGGAAAGTATAGATTTGTAGGTTTGATAAATTTTACTTGATTTTTAAGATGAATACATTATCATTTTAATTCTACTGCCTCAATTATTATGCTCAGGCTATTTCAAATGTCTAGATTCAAACCTGTCCAGATCCTCAATGCAAATATGAAAATATGTGGGGCAAAGACAAAGTCCTTATTATGTGCTAGAATTCACAAGAAAGAATAAGATAATTAGAAGTTATTTTCTTTCAGATCACTTCTTTTGAAGTAGTTAGCAAGACATTCAGTGAGAAATTTCAAATGTGACAATTTAAAAGTCTAAAAATAATCCAAGATAAATGCAAAACTACAGACCAGACCTTATCAACACTACAAATGTATTTACTAGTTGAGTATACACTCAAATTTGTGTATGTCAAAAGCCTTCATCATGAAAAAATAATTAGAATAAGAAAGGACAAAATTTAATAAAGACTAAGAATTAAACTTCGTGATTGAATGCTAACTCTACCCCTTGTTAACTGCATGATCTTGGGAAAGTAACTTGGCTTACCAGTTCTGTCCTAGGTAAAAAGGAAATAATAGTGCTGTCTCCATACTGGAGTTCAGAACTGATTATGAGACAGTATAGGATGGTAATCAAAATATCACCTGTTAAACTGTTAAAAGGTAAAATCGAAGATGTGGCTTAGATGTGTGGCAACAACAGGCTTCCTATTGTGGAACCCCAGCTACACATCAAGTATTATTGAACCTGCTGTCTCTCATGCAGGATCTTGCCCCTGTTAAATGTATGGCATATAGAAGCAGGATGGAATCCCATCCTGTGGTTCCCCAGTTAAAATGAGGTACGGCGGGACTGAGAGAAGCTTTTTTAAATTCTTTTCCCTACCTCATTAAGAAGAAGAGTCACATTTCTTTCCTTGAGAGGGGTTGGCAGAAAGTGGGTAGGAATATCATTTTATTGAAACTCCTTCCACAAGGAAAATAGAGAATATGGAAGCAGAGTGGGGGTGAGTTTTACCCTTTAACATTTCTTGGACTTTTGTTTTCTTAATTCATTAGACTTAACCATTTAGCCTATATTCAGCCAGGCTGTGGCTAATCCCTTGTGGGGAAGAGATGAGAAAACTATTAGGGAAGTACTGTTCTCATTTCCATAAGGCTATTCCCCCACTGCTAATCATGCTCCCCTGTGGTCCTTCTGGTATATACTCCAGGGCAGTAGCATTGCTTCTGCCCTATTTCACAGAGTGCTCTGAAATTGGCCAGATGATTACATTAAATTCATTAACTTGGAGGCAACATTGTACCCAAGACTGAAAATCAAATCCCTATTTTATTTCTCAACCCAAATTATGTCTCGCCAAGCTTTCCAATTACATATTGCATTAATTGGCCTCCCTGAGAAGCAGATGCTCAGAAAGGAGTCCAGCTTGTGAAAGGATTGGAGAGGGAACAGGAGAAGGTGAGGAGCGCCTTCAAACCATGGTGCAAATTTGACACCTGTGAAGAGAAGGAAGGGAGGAGGACTAAGTAGGAAGAATCTCAGCCTGCAGTGCAGTGCAACTCCTAGAGATGTTAGAGTTGGCTGAGGGGGAATCAGTCTTCAAGTCAGAGTCACTTGCTGGAGGACTTCTACATTTCACTGCAATGAGCCAGTTAAGGGACCCTAACTCTCCTCAGTCATTGGTTAGGAACAGTTGGCAGGAAGTGTGGTCTCAGTGAATACAGTGGTGGATTCAGAAGCTGTCAGTCCATTATCCTTCTTGCAGCAGACCCGAGTTATGTATTTTATGACTGGAATGTGCCTATAACCTACCACAGCTTCTACAATGGTATTGAATGACAATGTAAAGATACTTCAAAAATAACACATAATTAGATGTTTCACACCTGAATTAAGTAGACTTCTTCCGATGATTAAATTCTAAATAAAAAGTATAGTTAAAAAAATTAGATCCCCTTGCAAGTTAAATCCAAATAACAATGCAAAAAGTATTAAAGCCCTGAATCAATTCTCTTGACGTTATTAAAGTTCTAAAATGTTAAATTCCAAAATATGTCTTCTCCAATTTCTGATCCTCTCAGTCTTAACCAAGAGAGGGCAGATGTGGGGCTGGATTCCCTGAGCAGCACATTGCCTGGAATGGATGTGATTCCTTCAAGAATTCAGACTTTGTCTTCATGATCCCACTTCAGAAAAAGTCCAAAGAAAAAAGAAATAAAAAAGGAAAAGTCCAAAGAATTCCTGGAATAAACGAGATTATAAGAGTTCTAGCTTAGTTACTATAAGATTTAGAAAGCAAGTTGACCTGTAGGTTATCATCCAATTACCACAGGAAAACAATGCTTGCAAATCACATCACTTGGTGAGGTCAAAGATGGTATCAAAAATATCCTAATTAAGGTGAGTAGAAGGAGATAATTTGAGTTTTCATCTCACCACCAAGATTCACTGATTCATATCACAAATAGACATTGAATACCTACTGTGTTCCAGGAGGTATCTGGTGATGAATAAAATAGACAAATGTCCTTGCCCACATTGAGCAAAATTGCATTTTTTGGGGAAAGACATTATTCAAAGAAGATAAATAGTTATGTAAGTAGCATGTTGGTGAGATGATAAGGAGGGAAAACAAAAGAAGAAGATAATCAAATATGGGGAGAGGATTAGAATTTTAACTAGGATAGTCAGGGATGATAATTTTTAATAAAAATCAAAAGATTTATTTATGCATACAAGAACTGGGGTACAGGCCAGAGGTGTAGGGGTGAGAGGATTCACCAGAGACAGAGTGGGGAACAGAATAGGCAGAGTGACTGGAATTCACTGCTGAGGGGAGCAGCGCGTGAATCAGGAGAGATCTGCTGCGCCATGTGGGTATCTCCCTGGCCGGGGATCAAACTCATGCTGCAGTGGCTGTGGTTAGCTTCACAGGTTGCGTCTCAACCCCTTGCGCCACCAGAGAGGCCCCCTCTATTATATTTCTTCTTGCTTTTTTGGGAGTCAGTAAAACTCATCTGAGTTTATAGCAGCTCAACCTAATTTTTTAGGTTGTTCCCTTTCTTTATCTTCCAATGTAAGGCTAGTACAACTTGCTAGATTTGGGTATCTTCTTTCTTTTGCCTTCTTACACATTTTCTTTTGTTTTCTGGCCCAGATGTTCACTTTTCTTACACTTTATTCAAAGTTTTGATTTGTGCGGTGTCCCACTAGGGAGACATGAAATCTATGCATTCTATATTTGCCAAAAGGAAATAAATTTGCACTTTCACCTTTCTGAGCTGCATAAATATTCCCAGAAGACAGTCTTCCAGTGAATCAGTAGCCAACCCAAGCCTGGAGTTGACTTGTCATGTCTTTTCCCAGCCCTGCACAGGCAGGACCTTTACCATTCTGCTATCGCTCTTACCAAGAACAGGCTAACCACGTTTTTTGCAGGCCAGAATATCTGAAAGAGAATTAAGAAGGGGAAAGGAACATCAGTTATATCTGATCTTTATTCTGCGCCCTGATCCTCATTCCAAACTCTTCAAAATTTCCTCTTCCCTCCTGGGAAATAACAACTATATATAGGTGGGAAGTTTACTTTAATGGATGTTTCCCTATATAGAAGGAAATATTTGGAATGGGAGCTATTTCCCCATTAAAGTATGTAAAATACTTAGCACAATATCTAAAAGGAGGTTAGTACTCACTAAATATTGATTACTATAAGTACAAAGCCAACCGAAAAATTAAAATGAAAATGGTCAGTTTGTTATTTATAGAACTAGCTAAAGGGGAGAGTAAAATGAGAGAAGTAGATAACCAAGTAATTTTAAAATACTGAGTCTTTTTCTTGAGGTTTCTACAGAGTAAAACTCACTGCCTTAAATTGTCCTTTAGTGGTCATCTGTGGATACAGCTTCCTTCAGACATGGATAGAATCTCCAGGTATCCTCAGCGTGTGTGTGACTCAGGCCCTCTCACCGGTCTGCTTGGCCCATCAGGAACTTCAGAAGTGGAGACTGAGAGTGTGAGCCCTTACATTTGGGCCAGAGAAACCTGATGGAATTTCGAGCCATGAACTCTGCCTTCTGGTTCAACACAAGTAGGATTTTAAATAAGATTAGGTAATTTCTTTTATTTAAAATTACATAAAGGCCTCCCTGGTGGTGCAAGGGGTTATACGCAACCTATGAAGCTATCCGCAGCCACTGCAGCATGAGTTCGAACCCCGGCCAGGTAGCTACCCACATGGCACAGCAGACCTCTCCTGCCTCGCCCACTGCTCCCCTCAGCAGTGTATTTCAGTGGATCTGCCTATTCTGTTCCCCACTCTGTCTCTGGTGGATCCTTTCACCCCCCACACCTCTTAGCCTGTACCCCAGTTCTTGCATGCATAAATAAATAAATCTTTAAAAAAAATAAAATAAAATTACATAAAATTATTTTGGGGAAAAAAATCTCCAGATAGATGAACACAATTGGTCAAGCATGACTTTTTTTTTAGATCTCAGGATTACAGAACTGGATTAATCCTAATCCTAATCTTCAGTTATCATATGCTCTCCTAACTGGTCACTTCCCTTCATCCCCCTTGTCTGGCCTTCTTCCTAACTTGTTCCCTCTCTGAGGGGATCTATAATATCAATGTCTTGTTCTGAGTGGAATAAAATTTTAGGGTTCTCCTACCCTTCCTCTCCTTCCTCTCCCAGGCAACTGTCTTTTTTTGTTGGACTAAGTTTGAAATTTGAATAAACACTGAAAGTGACAAACTTGTCACATCTGGAGGGGAAAAAAAAAATGCTGTTTCTTTTGGTTTCTCCAGAATGCTAAATGCATCCCAAAAGCTCAAAGGAAGGGTGCGGTTTTGACTCAAACTTTGCCCTGTTTGCCAACCTCAGGGAGTCTGGGTTGAGTTAGGGGGAATGTAACAAAACCTGACAACAGACAAGTCTAATGTGGTTTGGAGTTTTATTATGAAACTTCTGTGTAGTTCTGCTTTTCACCCATTTGTGTCATAAGAAAACAACCAAAACATTCATTTTAGTTTTTGCTAACCATCTTTCAGAGTAACACAATACATATTCAGGATTTAATATGTATTATAACTAACAAATTACTGTAAGTTGTAAAGTTGTATCGTGTACTGATTCACAAGTTAGTTTTAAACTATTTTCTTATTTCCTTCAATTATACGTATGATTTAATATATATTTATAAACGTATACTATCATATTTATATAAAAATATACACCTTAAAACAAACATAATATTGAATTTTTTAAATTATCGCTGTTACATTAGCAGTTTATATTATTGAAAGAAAAATTGAATACTACAAAAGATTAGAAAGAGGAAAAATTAGGTATGAGGCAGTTTCTTAATTCATTCTACTGGCAACTGATATCATGCTAGATGCTGAGGAAAATATGTGGGTGATTTGGAATATGAACTATACCCTTTAGGAGAGAGAGAGAAATAAAAATACATGAATTTATTTTATTTTAAAATTTTCTTTAAAATGGATAGTGTTTATTTTTTGATTAACTTATTTTTTTATTAAGGTAATTATTTATTTATAACACTATATGTCTTAGAAGTATAGGTTCATACATCTTCAAATGTATGTTACCACACTTCACCTACCACCAAAACCCCATTTATTCTTCTAATTTCAAGGGTTTGTTTGGCTTGGTTTTGTGTGTTACTTTGCTTTATTTCTTTATATTCCACATATGAATGAAATCGTTTGGTATTTTTGTATCTCTTTCTGACTTAAAATATATTTATTTTGAATATTCAGTGAAAGATTAAATTTGGCAGGTATCTTCAATACTCCTGTATCTTCCCATTACCTTTAACTCAGTCATTTAGAGGCAAGCTCTATTTACTCAGAGATCTCATCACAGTCTCTGTGGTTGCCAGAGACATCTCAAGATTTAACCTGAGGTTTAGTTCTCTTTAGACTGCATGCATCTGGTTTTCTTCCTTCAGAGAGGCAGCAGTTAAAAAGAAATCTTTCCACTTGTTACAAGTGGATGAGTGATTAAAAAGTGCAGTGTTGACAGTGTCTACAACTACATTAGGTCAAGGTAGGAAAGAGACATGGTTATATAGTATTTTTTTAAAAGATTTATTTATTTTATTTATACAAGAACTGGGGTACAGGCCAGATGCACGGGAGGGTGAGAGGATTTACCAGAGACAGAGCGGGGAACACAACAGGCAGACTGACGAAATACACCACTGAGGGGAGCAGCGGGCATGACAGGAGAGGTCTGCCACACCATGTGGGACCCTCGCTCGCTGGCTAGTATCGGACCGGCACTGCAGAGGCTGCGGACAGCTTCACAGTGTGGCACTCAACCACCTGCACCACCAGGGGAGGCCTGGTTATATAGTATATTAATGACTCATTCCAAATTTCACAAGATGGACAACGGACCAAAGCAGAACATTTTTTCTAAATTTATTTTGAATAAAGCTTTGAAAAGAAAATTTTAACAAAATAGAGTCTATTCAATAATTAAAAAATCTTTAATATGATACAAAGTCAAATATATAAAGTTAGGATCAAAAACAATTTCATTTTACCTCATTATACACTATTAATGGTTGACTTCCATTGACTTCAGATAATTAAAACTGTATTTCTAAGATTTCAAAATAATTATGTGGGGAGCTATACAAAAGAAGTAAGGTTGTGAGGTTTATATTGATGATCATTTAATGTAGCAAGGAAATGAAAGAAAGGTATTTCAGTTCTTCTTAAGTAAGGCAGTTGAGGCAGCTGAACACAAAGGAGAAACTACCAATAGCAGTTGTCTAATTCTGGCTTTCTTCTACCAGTGACACCAAACCAGATTGTTTCTAACTCTCTTGATTATTACACACACACACACACACACACACACGATTACACACACAAAAACACATACACACATGCCCCTCAAGTTCCCAACAAAGTCAACATTACTTAAAAATAACTTACTGTTTTCATTTATCTATTTGTCTACCATGCATTAATCCAGTAAGTATTTATTATGCACCTATCATGAGGAAATGCACTTTGCTGGACTCAGTATTACCAAATATCTGGGCTGAAAAACAATTGCATGGCACTAAGAGTTTCTATAATAAAATGAAGCTGCTATGGGAAACATGAGTTATTTACAAAATAAATGAGCTTAAATGTAGGGGAAAATAGCATTCAGTTTTCAAAACTGAGAGTTGTTTGTTTTTCTCAAGAACACTCCTAAACTACCTTGCAATTCTGAATTTGAGTTTTAATTACTAACAAACAAGTGAAAAACCCTTCCCAGGGCAAGGAACATCAGCAATGGATTATTTGACTCTCATTGTGGTTTATTTCATTATATGATGAGTCACTTTTTTTCCTTTGTTAGTTTCAGAGTTTGAGAAAAGTCTGGTGGCTATGTTTTACAAAGGCTACAAAAAATAAATTGTTGTTCTTCAAACTGTATAAGTCTCTCTTCCCAATTCTGGCCATCCACTTTTATCTAGTGCCAACTAGACATTTGTCCATTAGTGCTCCACAGGCACAAGCAGCTCAGTACAGTATAAACTGAACTCTGTGTGGTCACCCATAAACCTAATCTTGCATTTGCTCTCATACTTATTAGTACCACCCATCTGCCTAGTTTCTCATACTAGAAATCAAATACTCATCAAGATCCTCTCTTTGCTGGCACTCCTCATAGTTATTAGATCAACATGTTCTGTTAATTTTATATTCTGAATAGATCTAGAATCATGTTTCTATTGCTATGTGGCAAATCTGGTGATTAGCCAGTTCGGTTCCAGAGTCTGTGCCTCTAACAACTACACTACATTGCATCCTGATATATAGTACCTGACACATAACCAATGCTGGAGAATACAATGTTTATCTATGAACAAGAATTCCTAATAATGAGCCCTCAGTCACAGACAATGCTAGACTTCTCCAGGCTTCCTTGCACTGGGTCTGTCTCTGGAAAACTCAGGACATGGAAGAGCAGAGAAATTATCCTCATTGCAGCAGGCCGACTATGAGGAGGAGAAAAATGAGTAGAAAACAAAAAGGGGACTTCTGTACATAAATCCAATTTATTTTTTTCATACTCATCCATCAGATTAAATAAATTCTCCTTTCCTGGAAGAGGGAAAAGTTGGAAGAGTAGAAGTTTAGTTTATTGACTAGTGGAGCTCCCCACACCTGGAAGCAGACATAAGGAACTGGAAAGAGATACTCTCTCCCAATGTAATATGCATATATTTATTACCTTTTTTGTTCTCAATACCAATGCCACATCACGCTGTAATTTTTTGTTTGTCTCTATCTCCCTCTTCCTTCCTCACCTATACACTTCTTAAGAGCACATGTATTTTTCTATTAGTCTCTGGATGTCCAGTGACTGGCACGTAGTATATACGCAATAATTGTTCATTAAATGAAAGAATGAAAAGGTATTTTTCTTTAATTCCCAGAAAATACAGAAGAATTTAATACACACTAGAATTAGTTGTTAACTAGCCGTTTCAGAACTATAGATCCTTTATTTGAGTTTATCCTCAACCTCTGTAATTCTTGGCTTTTTGTCTCTCTCTCTCTCTCTCTCTCTCCCTCTCTCTAAAATAAGGGCTTAACAAGTGATCTGAATAAGCTGACAGCTTCCTGCTCTCACTGCTGCTGCTATGCATGGCTTATCTGAAATTGGAATCAGAAAAGGCAGTAAGGAAAGACAATCTGGCAACTTAGCACGCATCTTGGTTCTCTTTTGTCCAGCAGAAAGAAGTTCATTTTAGAGGACATGGGCTTTGGTGTCATTCATCCTGCTTTTGAAAACCCACTCTGCAATTTTACTAACTGTGTGACCTTGTGCAGATTGTGCTGTAGCATAGGAGCTATGTTCTAGTAGTTTTTAGCCATTCCCTTCTGAGAGGACGTCATCTGCTTTTCAGAAAGTTCTCATTTAACTGCTTTTATAGAGGTACTCATGCACTAGCCTATGACCTCCTTTCCATTTTTGAAACCTGCCTGCTTTATCTTCCAGACATCAGATTCTGCTGTCTGATAGTGTGAGAATAT